GTCTTTAAAACAGTCGTTGGCAGCAGGTTTTTTTCCAGAATTTTTTATTCCCTTTGGTTCCAATATAATAGGCCATAGATTTCTGCAGACAGCAGTGACACCAGGGCTTCCATTTGCCTTTGTAATTCCCCATTCCCTTCCTATTGCCTCAGACAACTCCAAGGCCCAGGGCCATGGCAGGAGAGAGGAGTTGCTTTGCCTGAAGGAAATATGAGTCCTCCCTGGAAATCCTCCGAGGCTTTGGAAAAAGCCTGTCCCGTAAGTCACTCTTTCAAAGGTGGCAGCCTGGTCTCATGCCGAGATGATTAATGCAGGGCACAGACTTCTCACAAGCTTCTCAAGAGCCACTGAGACTCACACGCAACGTGCTGGTCACAGGGGACAAACGTGTGTTTCGTGTCACAGAAGGGCATGGGCATAAAGGTTGTCTAAAGCAACAATAAAATCTCCAAGAAATACAAAAATCACTAGGCCTTGTTGATACTTAGAAGTGTATTCCTTAGGAAATTGTGGTATTTCAGGAAAAAAAAAAAAGATTATCAGTCTGAACTGGAAAAAAAAGATTTTAAAAGACAAATTATTTGCAGAACTTGGTTGTCACTTTGAGTTAGTCAAACTGTTCCTCTTTAATAATATCAAAAATACTCCATTCTATCTTTATATATTTAGTCATCTGCAATATATAAAATGCATTTCAACATAAAGTGATTTCATTTCCTTCTGAAAAGGTCATTCTAATAGGATCATATCATTCTGATAGAGTCAAAACGTCTCTCTATCTTCTGCCAGACACTTGCGTTTCAGAAAGCTTTCGACAAAACTCTTGTTTTCCCCGCGTGGGAGTTTGGTCAGGAAATTTTTGGCCTGCTGTAATCATCAGAAGCAAGCCAGGACCTGAATCTTAAAACCTGCATGCCTTAAAACAGGGGAAACTCTTTCCTATTAAACATATCACTAAATTAAATTTACTATGCAATACATGCCACTGGCAAATTTAACAGGAGTTAGCACAGCTTTCCAGAGCTCCTCTACATACCTAGGTTACATTATGCCAATAATATAGATTTGCAGACTCATAGAAAGGTCTTACTTGGAAGATCTGGAGATCATCTCGGGCCAACCTTATGTTGAAAGCAGGGCCTTAGATCAGGTTATCCAGAGCCCTGTCAAGCCAAGAATTGAATATTTCCAGCAAGAGAGATTCTACCACTTCTCTGGCTAACTTCCTCCAATGTTAACACTGCTCCCACAGTAAAGACTTTTTTTTCATCTATCCAGGAAAAGATGCAGACTCATAGAAAGGTCTTACTTGGAAGATCTGGAGATCATCTCGGGCCAACCTTATGTTGAAAGCAGGGCCTTAGATCAGGTTATCCAGAGCCCTGTCAGGCCAAGAATTGAATATTTCCAGCAAGAGAGATTCTACCACTTCTCTGGCTAACTTCCTCCAATGTTACACTGCTCCCACAGTGAAGATTTTTTTCATCTATCCAGGAAAAAAATTCCTGACCTTGTACCTGTTACACCTGGCTCTGTCACCATTGATCCTTGGGAAGAAAGTGCCTCTACCACCTCTGCAGGCCCTGGGATACTGTGATCAGGAGGCACAGACTAAGAGTTCTATGGAAAACATGGTTAATTAAAATGAAGTTTGCATGGGTAACAGATTAAAAAAAGAATCACCCACAGTCTGTGTAATATTCATGTTAATGTTAATTGTGTTAATCATGATAATGAAGGCTCAGTATTCACACATATTTAAGAATGTGGCAAAGTTGACAGTCTTTCTGAGAACAAATTGTTGATGGTAACTTATGTCTTATGTTCTGTCACAAGAAAAATATTACATTTACAGTAGAAACTCAAATTAAGTATATTCATAATAATTGGATAAAAAGATGCAGTTATATAACTTCCTGCTACCAGAATGGACAGTTGACTTTTTAAAAATCCATCTTACTTGCCTTTTTTTCCTTACATGAATAGAGACTTTTTTTCCTCAACTTTTGTCTTTCTTATTTAAGACTACTTAAAAACATCCAAATAAAACAAAAGCATAAGATCGTTTCTGGAAGTTTTGCTGAAGTGCTACTTCAACAGATCTTTACATTTCCTCAACAGTGACAGTCCTCAACTTTTGTCTTTCTTATTTAAGGCTACTTAAAAACATCCAGATAAAACAAAAGCATAAGATGGTTTCTGGAAGTTTTGCTGAAGTGCTTCTTCTCCAACAGATCTTCACATTTCCTCAACAGTGACAAAGAAAATACTGACATACTAATCTGAGCAGCCACTTAAGGCACCTAATGGAAATTTCCAGGGCTACTGAAAACTCCAAAACTTGCCATTAATGATCTTAGTGATAGGAGGTTTCCCATCACAGACTGTATTACTAGGAGGTATTTTATTCCAACAGCATATCCCCTCTTCAAGAAAATGCACCATTTCTCATGGACAACCTAATTACACTTGAATCTCTCAGTAAAAAGATTCAGATCTCAGATTTTTGTGGCGATCTTCTCCAAACAGCCTTTCACGGACGGACAAGAAAATTACTAGATTGTCTGCTCAGTTTTGCTCGTGTTATTTCTGAAAATAAAACAGTAAACATTTTTGTCCTTTGACAACTTTGAAATTAAAGTCAACTCTTTCATAAAGATATGACAAAACAGTTATTGAATGATATCAGATCAACAAATGCAATTGATTTAGGCCATAATAAACCTGGTTTTTTTATATACTTCCCATTTTCTCATACGTAATGCAAAGTTGATATGAATAAATACTTAAATAGAAAACAAGAGACAACTAGAGGCTGGAGCGATCGCACGCAAGATATAAGGCTCACTATCTATGTCAATATAAGGTCATTTCCTAACGTAACACTACCCTTCATTAGTGCAAAATTAATGCAACATGTTAATGGCATCATTACTTTCAGATGAGATAGTAATCCAAATTCTGGATCCCTTCTTCTCATGAAATAGGCAATAAAGTATAGGGCTCTGATCTTTATTTTCTCTTGCAGCTACAAGGGCAGAGAATTTCTGCTTCTCCCGCAGAAGCTGCTGCTGTGCTCCGGCCAAGAACCCCTGCGTTCAATGAAGGAAATTAATCAGCAGGCAACGGAGCCGAAATTCTTCAGATAGCAGGAAAGAATAAAAGCTTAATCCACAAACTGCACTATAAAAATAGGAAAGCGGGATTCTGTACTTGAGCCAACACTTGTGAAGCTGCGGTACCCCTCCAAGGTACGCCTCTAAACCCAGCTAAAACAAAAATGAACAAAGCACAGACAAATAAACTGGGGAACAAAGGCTGGATAACCCCATTACTTGACATTTTTTAATAGCTCCTTTCCATTGCATTTCTGAGCCTTTTGCTTTAAAAAGACATGGCACTAGTGAAGAGTTTTTAAACAGGCTTCAATCTGAGTAGAACAAGACCCAAGATCTTTTGATACCCTCCAAGAGCATCTTCAAAACAGAAGTGTCTCATTAAGAACATTGCGGTTTCAGTCAGCAGCTTCTGTTGTTGCTAATAGTCTTGCGGAATAGAAATTGTTACTTTTTTTAAGTAAAGCCATTGGGAATTTTTCAATCAGATAATGCTTAGCTGGAAAAAAAAAGAAAAAAAAAACAGTCTTTCACAGGCACTTTAGAAAGTTTCTTGGGATTGATATAGGATTTCTGGTGGAAGCAGGAAAAAAAAAAAAAAGAAAAGAAAAAAAACAGAGGAAAAGTAGCCACAGTTTTGTGGCTGGAGCACTTTTACAGGATGTGGTGAATAGCAGATTCGACAGGTCTTTCCTAGCTAATTTGGAAAAGTAATGCGGCCATAAAGTTCTCATTTCAGTCTCAAGCCGTAGCTATTTTGTTGTGTGCTTCTCTTCATTATTTTCAAGCAAAAAATATAAAAATAAATTTTTTAAAAAAATCCTTCTATGACTACTGTCTTTCCATCTGTTATGCTTTTCCTTTAATCTCCTACACAAATGTTACAGTTACATCCTCAATATGAAGTCACTGATTAAAGGATACAGCCTGACTGCATTAAGAGAGGGTATATATATTCTATCAATACTGCGACCACTTCAAACCATTCGAAGCATTTTGCAGCAAGCTTGTGTCCCAGCCCTGCACGCACTGAAGTTTGTAAGTACCATTACTCAAATAAGCAGCAACACTCACGAGGAGGCATTTAATACGAAGGAAGCAAGAGTAGCATTCCTGAAGGAACAGACTGGTAATATGGGATCTGTGATAACGCCAAAAGGAAGCATTTTTGGATGTGTTCCATCACTTTAAGTCCAGGAAACCATTTTGTATGACACAAAGGATTAGGAAAAATAAGCTGCATGACATTTATTTTGTAATTTTAACATTAATATCTGTAGAAACATTTTATTGTCAGTACAAAAGTTAACAGATTTTAATACTTTTTATCCATTTTTTTTTAAAAAAACACATAAAACAGTGTAATTTGCATTCATATTGCATGACCGTATCAGAGTTAGAGAGTTTTCTGAAAGTAAAAACACAAGACTTTTGTAAAAAGATACAAATAACAGTGACATTTTAGCAGAGGCCAGTGCTATACCTGCTGTTCTGGAATGGATCAGAAGGAAATATTGGTGTCACCATGAATTAATCCCTTAAAAAGATGCTGATATTCCTACGTCAAATTGTCATGATAACAACTTCTCTCTTTCTAACTTAAGTTACAATAGGGATATTATAAAAGGCTATTTCTAGGCCAAAAGATCTGGAACATATTATCAAACTCAGGGAAAAGAATTCTAGTTAATTTGATGCATATGCAACACAGGCTAGAAGCTCAGCTCCTTTTGGACTGCTGCATTTTAGTTTGCTTATAGCCAAATTAATTTCTTTCCTTACTTTAGGAACCCATTATAAGGGTTCTTTTGTTTTGTTTGTGTGGGGTTTTGTTTTGTTTGTTTGTTTTTTTGCTGGCACAATTGTACTTTTTGGCCCCATTGCTAAAGAGTTACATTTTTAAAGTGACAGGTAGTGAGAATAAAAGACTTTCTTGTTAAAGGATTTGAGTTTCATTAAGAATAAGCATCTGACACCAAGGTTTTTTAAACACAAATAAATCAAAAGTTTAATTCCCCAAAATTAGTTATATACTGTAAATATTTCTTTCTTTAAAGATCTGAAAACTAGTAAAGTCTGAGCAATATATCTACTAGTTCTCTGTGCTGCCTGCATAGAAATGCCATTTAAATTACAAAAACACAACAACCCTATAAACGATTAATTGCTTTGTACATTACCAATTAGTTAATAAATTAACGATATACCATTTTCCCTGAAAGCAAAGTATTTTCCACCTTTGGATGGCGAAAATTAAGAATTCTGTGTAAGAACAGCATTTAGCAAATAGCTGTTAAAAAAGAGACTAATTTGCTAGGTGGATTGGGACATCCATTTTTAAATCAATACAAAAAATAATTCATTGTAAATATATAATATATATATTTATACATATTCTGAATATATTTACATACATCCAGCACCTATATACTGCATTTGTGCTCTGTAAGTGTGTGCCAACATATATTTTCTCGAAATATTACAAAATAAACAAGAAAGGCAGACCCAGAGTTTGCCTCAAGTCCAACTGGTCCATTGTACAAACAAAGTCTCTTGCTGCTGAAGCCAGAAAATTGATAGTGATGGATAGCTAGACACATAAACATTCTTCTTTGTTGGGAGTATTTAAAAGTTGCAGATTATATAATCCTTTATGTAGGTTCTGACTGTTTTCCTCCAAGTTTTCTTTTCTCTTTTTCCTCTTTTTTTCATATTTCATATGTACAAGCAGAAACATTAAGGTCCTGGAGACAAGATTTTGTGTTTTGTATACGGTAGGTAGCTTGATGTTCCTGTTTCTTTATTCCTCTATACATTAAAAATGGTTTCTTCTCATGTTTTAACACCGCCATTCATATGTTGGTACTTGGGAAGACAAGGTTCATAAGGCATTGGATCAGGAGAAAAAACAGAGTCATCACCTGAAGAACATGAACTCCTCGTATCGGGGTAACTAGGTGAATACTGTTCAAGAGGTCCACTGAGGTCTAGATACTCCTGTAACAAAAGACATAAATTACATTTTAAAATAACATGTATAACTGACAATATTTCCACTGCTCTGATTTGGCTTGGTCATACAGTGGGCAAAAACAGTTAAGTACTGACAGTCAGTTCTATAATTTTAGTGCACGCAAAACTGTCTGGTGCTTAAATATCCGACAAAACAAGGAACGCTCCAGGATTTAAAATAAAAGAGCTTGAGTAATTGAAGAAAAAGGAACCAATAACATCATACTTTTGTGAAGTCCAACATCATCGGCATTAGCTGTGTCACTAGAAATAAACATGCCAACCACATCAGAAGAGGACTTTTCACTCGCAATGATAAAAATGAAATTGCAACCTAAACGGAACCATTTTTCTTTAGCACATGGTAATGATTTGGAGATGGACAGATACTTCCAATTTTATATTCCTTTGGTCAGTTTGAATATCTGTTTTATATTCTGTGATATTAAATCTGTGTTTAAACATGCAGTGGCATATGTGCTAAAAAAGCCAAATGCAAAAAAAAACCCCACACAACTTCATCGGTTTTGGATTCTTTTCACTGTATTTTCTTCTGTGTGTATGTGTGTACGTGGAGTGTGAGTGCACACATGCACACGTGTGTGTTTGTCCATGTGCCAGAGCAGCCATGACCAAAGCAGTCATTAGAAAAGGAAATAATATCTGCTGAATCCAAGTTTTGGGTTATGGCTCTTTCGCTAGAAACAACAGTTTTGGCAGGAGAAGAAAGTTATTTTTCCCCTTGAAATGTTCCTTCTCTTTCAACTTCTAAAGGGCAGCTGCATTCATTTAAATGCAATCTCTTCATTTGCTAAACCACAAGTTATGATCATACTGACGAGACGAGTCTTCCACCTCAGTCAGTATTTTATACTGCTGTACTTTGGTTTAGCGTAATTTAGTTCTTTGGTTAACATATTTTCTTAAGTCAGAAATTCAAACATTACCACACTATAGATTAACAAAAAATCACCATTTTAGAAAGGGAGGAGAAATGTAAACTTTAAAATGCTGACAAATGCAGTATTCAGCAAAAGAGGCTGCACAATGCGGTTTGAATCTATGATTACCTCCCAATTTGCAGAACAGATTTGTAAAGCAGCCATGGGGATGATCTTGGCATGTTTTTACATTCTCAGCAAGCAAAATGTGGCACATTAGGTGACCAGAAATTACCAAATAGAAGAAAAAAATACTTAAATTTTTGAAATAATCAGACACAGCTTGTCATATCAAAGTTTTCAAATAACGCAGTTCTGAATTCAGGATTGAAGGCAGGATCCTTATGTCCTGTACAGCCCCTTTATCCAACATAAAGGGCCAGAATCATGAAAAGGGGTGTAAAAGGTCTCACTTATAGCATCAGGATAGTTCTTCGTGTCAATACAACAAAACACAGCCATTAGGTTGACCGCAGTGACTGCTGCACAAAGATCCCATGCTGTTCTGGGAAACGCTGCGGGATCCTCTGGGATACCTGGACAGTTGGGCCTTTGGAAATAACAGGTGATGATTCAGGAAGGGCAAGAGCCAGACACAATCTGCACCAAAACTTGCACAAATGCAGTATGAGATTGTACTGCCTCTCATAGCAATTTGGGGGGTTCAGGTCAACCCACGTTGACCCTAATGTTGTTTTATCAGGATGGAGAGGATAAGCAGAAGCAGTGTCAAACCAATGCACTTCAGGGAAACTGTGCAGATTACACTAAATCAGATGTCTCAAAAACACAAGCTAGGGAGGGGAACGAGACAAGCTGAAATACTCATAAGACACGGAGTAAGAACACAAGAAGTCTGCAAGAACATAAAATGTACTGCAAACAGGAGCGAAATAATTTGCTCTCTCTGTCTTGTGCAAACAGGACAAAAGCAGAGTCTTATGTAGTAGAGTTAGACATTAGGAGCACAAGAAGTCTGCAAGAACATAAAATATGCTGCAAACAGGAGTGAAATAATTTGATCTGTCTTGTGTAAACAGGACAAAAGCAGAGTCTCATGTAGTAGAGTTAGATATTAGGAGGAGCTTTCAAGAGACAATATTAATAGGATGCTGCAATGAGGAGTTGAGGGGTGATGCAGAACTACAGCAGAGATCTTTAAGAACAAGTTATGTAAACATCTATCAGACAAAGGTAGAGCTGGATCCTCCTCTAGACCAATTGGATGGACTAGTTGAGTTCCCAAGGTTTTTCCACCCTTTTTTTCCCCTATGATTCCAGTCTAAAGAAATTTACATAATGCTAAAGGCCTTTTCAGATTACCTTTGAGATCATTCCAGGTCCATTAGCAATACAGAATTGGGAAGGCAAAATGAATAAGACAAAAAAGAAAAAAAAAAAAAAAAAAAAAAAAAAAGAAAAAAAAGGAAGAAATATCCTCTGAGTTGTAGGCCAGAATCTCACTCCTGAATGTGCAAGTGCATATCTAGTCCAAGCCACCAAACATTCAGCAGTGGCAGCCAGCCCATCTCCAACTGGTCTTGTGAAATCATATACAAATTAGGCAGGAAAAGATCCAGTCAGTACTTGGATGAGGGGAAAATGTTAATAGTACATAAAGTGATGTTACTGACTCAGTAGGGAGCACATATTCCTGCGTCATCTCTGAGCCACTCTTGAAGGTGCCACTTTTCAGAATAAGCCTTAAAAACAGAATCCAGAGAAATTATAGCTACCATCAAAGCTAAGTGATCTTTTTCAACCAGAAAGGTTAGTCTACCCTACTGGCAAAGTGATCATCCTAAATAATGGCATTCCTTTACTTAAGATTCCCCTTCATCTTTATCGCACACAAGCTTTCATAAAGCTGCTTAACACGTAATTTTCTATTTTTTTTTTGCAATTCTGGAAAATGAGGAGGTAACGTTGGGGAGCTACACAAAAGGAACCACACCAGGTTTTCTACTTTTTCTGCCCTCATAAAGAACTCCTAAAATTATATCAAATCAGAAAACTGAGTTTTAGAAATGGTTAAGCAATTTATTCTGACATCTTTCTCTAAGTGCTTTGCTATTTTTATTTATGTCTCATTTGACAGAAGATATCGGAATTTGCAAAATGTTTGTGGGACACCAAGTACTTTCTATCAAAACAAGTTCCTACCAAAAGGATTACAATCCCCATTACCGGTGTGAATTTCCTCACAGGTGCCTGTGATTTACTGGTAAGAGAACTGCTCCCTGGGTGAATATGCTAATCAGTGTGTTCCTTGCTAAGACTAATAATATTTCAGCCCTCTAAAGCATACTGTTCACATCAAACCTTTTTGCATGCATATACCCCAACCTGAAGCAGTGTTAGGCAGGACCTTTGGATAATTGGATGGCTGCCTCTACATTCCCTGTGGGTCCTCATTCCCTCCACAGAGAGCTATTTCCATGAACCTAATTCACTTTCAGGCACATAATCTGAAATCTGCCATTGATGATTACTCCTCTTCTGACCTACATATCATAGCTGGGAATCAAATGGAGTTCAAAAATGAAAAACATCACGAACTCTAGCTCCCTCCCTCATGCAAAACTCATGTTAAAATATAAACACTCCCAACCTGCCACATTCATGTAGTCCTTCTATATGCTATGCTGAAAACATCAAAAGATGCAAAGAGAAATAAACAAAAATATTCAAAAGATGTGTTTCTGTTTAGTTACATAAATCAAGGCATGCTGGCAAGAAACCCAGGATTTCATAGGATAGATAGTTTAGCTGTGTGCAACCTTGGAGGACAGTGAAAAACAGAACAACAAGAGAACTAGAGCAATATTTGGTAAATGAATAAATTCCATCCATCTCCTGAACCATATGTCCTCATCTGCAGCTTATGAAGCAAAGCCATTTACCTACCTCATTAGTTGTGAGAGTAAGAATTCGATCCAAGTCTTCCACCAACTGTTTAAAAGTTGGTCTCTGTGAAGGCACAGCATGCCAGCAATCTCTCATCATCATATAGCTGTAATAAATAAATATTTCCTTGGGGTTAATTAAAACTACATGTTGTTCTCGTAAACCTTTTCACACAGACTTTGCTATTTACAAGAAGTAACACAGTGAGCACCCACAGTCCTACTCGTGGACCAACCGTTGTCCTGTAAACCAAGAAATACCCTCACTTCTGTCACAGGCACGTTTCTATTCTTAGATCCCTTCTTGCCCATTTTCTAAATTACAACTTGGTGGAGGAGACCCCATAGCTTTCTTCTATCCTGGCAGTTTCCATGGTATTTCATTTCATTTGTTATGGTAGAGACAACGGCCTTTGAAAAGTCAAGAAATTTAAATGGGGAAATAGTCAAGGGCCATACCAAAACGTCAGAAACGGAAAACATTCTTCTTATCACTGGCAGATAATGTTTTATTAAAGGAGAAACTTCCCAATGAATTTTGCTGTGTACAGAATGAGTGTGATTTGGAAATTTTAGAGTCTGCCTGGGGTAGCATCAACTGGGTAAACTGAGTATAAATTGAGTATGGGTTGGTCCCCTCGATCCCTGTGCAGAAAATATGGGTCCTTACAGCTCATTGGTGCAGTTGGCAGGTTTATCCATTCGGTGCCCTTCTTTAAGCAGCTTAAAAAGTTCCTCCACTGGAATTCCTGGGTAGGGCGATCCTCCTAATGTGAAGATCTCCCACATTAATACACCAAAGGACCATCTGCAGAACAAAGAGGAAACACTACAGGATTAAATCTGTTTTAATGTTGAAAACAAATTTCTTCCAGGAGAGATGCAAAAAGTTGTGTCTTGCTACTTCCAGAGTATGTCCTGCTGTCTTAAGAGCCAGATTCTGCCAGTTTGACAGACCAATCTCTCCTGTTTTGTTATAGGCAGCATTCCTGGTTGGTTTACTCAGTAGGAAAGAAATGTATCAGGATCTAGACCCAGACTGTCCCCAGACCAGCTGCCAATAACAGTCTCCAAGAGATTCAAACTTATCTTCAGCTTCCTGCTCATCTCTGGCAAACCCAAGTGGGACCTCAATCTGCAAAGTGCATCAGGAGTAAAAGCAGCACATTGAATAGGGACTGACCCATGCACGATCACAGAAACATCCATAGACTTCGCCAGGTGTGCTCTGAGCACCCAAATTTCCACAGCTACTGCAAAGAACTGCAACTTCCCCATTTTAATTATTTACAGAACATTCACACAGCTAAGCGGGTTTGCAATTACGTGCTGGGCTATTTTGGAAAAAAGAAGGTTGCTGGAAACGAGAATATTTTGCATCATTCTGCTCGGTTTGAATAACTTTTGTCAGCAGACAAAGGAGGATGATTTCCAGCCCGTTCTGCCTGCCTGCTTGCCATCTTCAGAGCTTGCCTCATCTTGTCCCGCTGGCAGGCCCTGCTGCCAGGTGAGCAATAGCACAAACCCTGCCCTGGCTCCCAAACGTCTCCGCAGCTCCACGAGCTTTACAGTAAACTGAATGCACCAACTTGCAATAATATTATCTTTAGCAGTCTTCAAAGCCACCGTGAGGACAAGAGCCTTGAAGCTCCAGCATTGGAAGATGTTATTTTAAAAACTAAGAGTGATCTGCCCTTAAAACTGTGTGTAGAGTTTGTTTGTAAATGTAAAGATTTGCAGGAAAAGCTCAAGTAACTGCTGGTCCCAAGGAGAGAGCACCCTGGCTAAAGGAGATACCTCTAATTTTCTCCAAACTGTTCTTTTTCATGTTAACCCTGCACTGACATGCACTAACTTTTACACCTGCTCTGGGAAGCATCCAGCCCTTTAGGGTTAACAGCTTCTCTTGGAGAAACAGAGAACATGGGATCTTCATCTGTATTGCATAAAATATATATATATCCTTCAAGTACAGTGCATATGAGCACTGTCGATCTGCCTAGGAAACTTTAATAGGAAGCAGAATAAATCCTGAAAGGCTGCGTCAGCCACGCTACACTGTGCACACACATTAAATGATCTTGACGTGTCAGAGTCCAGTGATTTCCTATCCTTAACATGCGAAATACTGCTGGTAAACACAATTTCTGAAATCAGAGAAAACTTTCCTAGTATGCCCATTCTGTGCTTTACTGTATGTAATATTAGAACAAACTTAAACAAGAATTTTCAGGGTCTTTCTTCTCTCCTTTTTTTTTTTTTCCCTCCTCTCTCTCTTTGTTTCTTTCTTTCTTTCTTAAACCTGAAGGAAGTGCAGAATATGCCAAAAGCCAAGCAAATTAGATAGACTCTTTGTAGCTGCACATCCGTAAATAAGTTCAAGGGGGGAAACTTCCGCACTGACAGAAGGAGGTTGGCGTTTTCCACCTTTCATGTGCTTTGAAGCTGGGCAGATTAGTAACAGAGCACTGGTTAGCAGTCTACCATAAAATCCTCACTTTCTAAGGGCATGTCCTGTTCCATCTATTAATATGTGAAACACAGAATGAAAACACTTGAAGGTAAAGAACAAGAAGAAAATACATTTAAAGATACTCCAAACTTTAAGAAATCCAGATAAATAGAATTCCCTTTCCCACCCTTCCCAAAAATATTCAAAGTTGCTTACACATCACTTTGGTGAGTGTAAACTCTGTCAAACAGAGCTTCGGGAGCCATCCACTTTACAGGAAGCCGGCCCTATGGATTTGGAGGGGAAGAGAAGGAATGAAAAATGAACTCAGGATGTTTTACAGATTGATTTCAACATTGAATTTTTAAAAGATTAATCAGTTCTCAGGGATCAGTCTGTTAAGGCTTATATACTTTTACAATTTGAAGAAGAAAAAAAGTAAAATCAGCTGCAGACAGTTAATGAAAATGGATATAAACATTAAGATAATATTAAAAGCACAGAGATCGCCCCCAGAAGTCCCCAGATTGTTTTCTAGAAGGACGCCATAAGGAGATCAACATGGAAAAGATCACTCTACTACGGTTCTTTAAAGGCAAAAAATTCAATAATTCTCTGAAAAACAGGCCTGCCTGCAGCACTAAGCTGGGCACCAAACTCCAGAATTTTGTTTTGCTGTTCAGCCTTTTGCCGTGGCTCGAGGAGTCCCAAATGCCTGTGGCTTTGCACAGAATTCTGCTCCGAGCCCAGGAATCACAGAGTTGGAAACGAGGTGGATTTAACTCCTCCCGGTGCCAACACACCTCTACCTGGTTCCTCGGCCTTTTTGCAAGTGTGCAGATTCATGTTTCCATTAAATTGCCATTAATCACATAGTACTATATTTCACAAATGAACCACTTATTATGATTGATAATTAATATTTTATAAAAACATAATTAATCGGGATCTCTGAGAACGAGCTATAAAGGTGTTCCAAACCAAGCACCTCAGTTAAACACCTACATTTGAAACATTTTATCTTCTAGATTTGGTAGAGGTTATAGAGCTAAATGGTGACAGAGGAGTAAAAAGCAATTTTCTCAACTTATGGCAGTACTGCTGCAGTAATTGCTTTACAACCAAACACAGGCAAAATGCATAAAGCTATATGAGACAAACACATTTTAAAATTTATAATAAATCATATAACAAATAGTCTCTTTGGTTATCTTTTTAAGTAACTGTTACTGCAAAAGGGGATAGAAATGCTTATGTCCTTAATCCCTGTTTTCTTTCTGTGATTAAAAGTTAGGCTGCTGTGCAAGAAGTCCATTAGGATTACAATCACAATTTTGAAGTGAACCCTGAAAGAAACTCTTGTTTCCAGAGATATGAAAACCATCCACTTACATTAGTAGTCTTTTTATAATAATCTATATTGTTGATGTCTCTGGCTAAACCAAAGTCTGCGATTTTCATCACATTGTTTTCAGTTACCAAAACATTTCTTGCAGCTAAATCTCGATGGATACACTGAAAAAAAGAAGAAAAGAAAAATCCCACTGAAAAAAAAGTTGAAATTATTTCTAAGTCTTACAAAAGCTATTTTTTTTTTTTTTTAAGACTTATATTTTGCTAGGGCTGAAGGCTTGGGTTGTGATCAGCATGTTCCAAGCTGTTTGTGATTCACTCTTCGCTACCCTTGCCTGGGTACAGGTATTGCAGCATTTTCATTATAGACGCTGTTATTTAGAGCTTTATGACGTTGCTCCTCAAATTATACTGGATCAACAGAGCTAAAAACCTGACATTCTGGATCACTGCAACCATTCTTAATAAGAAAGATTTTAAAATGAGATACATTTACAGTATATAATTTTAAAGCAGATGTCTAGAGTGTGTGTATTTACTTCAATCATAGCACTATAGCAGCTTAATTATGAAAAGGAAAAAAAAATAGCCTGGGCTTGCTGCTTGCTTTTTAAACAGAGCTGACACTGAAACTAAAAACGTTACGTTCTCAGAGTGTTTTCTTTATGTTCTGCTAGACATTTGCAACTGATGTCCACACTGGAAGGGAGTTGTGACTGCTCCGGGTACTGCTTCCATGTTCAAGCAGACTTACTAGGAGCAATATCAGGTGCCTGGGGAATCTCCCCAGGATATCTTGCCTCTTTCCAAGTTACATATGCTTTTATTACTCCTCCATTTTGGGTTATACTTTGTGTGTCCTCCTTCCTTCGGCATGTGCACAGGCATGTTGGACCAAACCACAGTTTTTAACAACAGCCAGTTTCTCTCTTGCGTTGCGACCTGCCCTGGAAACTCTCTGAGATCACTTAACCCCCATGGGTAAAGCAAGTCTACAGAGTTTCTGCTCTGCACTTGGCTAGCAATCCACGCGATGTAGAAATGGTATCCTGTTTGCAATATACCATTTGCAATGTCCCAATTCCTTAAAGGCAAAAATTGCAGTATGCACCCAAGGTGGTCTTTCACATGTTAAAGTTATGTTCTGAGATAGTTGTGTTTGCATTTATATTTTTCTGTGATTTTTCTTTAAGTCTCAGTGAGCCCTTTATCGGACTGAAATAGCAAGAAGACTGCTCTTCTCACAGTGTTTCAGTTACTGCATGGTGCAAACACAATGAGAAGACCAGCCCTTTTATTATTCCAGCTCAGTAAATGACTCTCTAAGGAGAAAAGGAGAAAAACTAGCGAAACACGAACATAATTTGAGAGCTATCTGAAGAACCGGAACGCACAGCTTCGCTTTCCTTCTTCATCTCAAGTTGTGCAATGCCCTACGCTCAAGTTCAGCACTGCACTGAACAAGCGTTCTTGGAAAGGACTGAACCAGGATGAAATGACTCTGCTCTGAGCATCCGTACGAGTGCACACCCTCTTGGCAGTGCCCTACAACAAGGATTTCAGAGCTTCTCAGGTGGACATTTGTTCTCAAGATTTGCCAATCAAAAAGATTTATTTCACAACTTTTTTTTTTTTTTAAACTGGGACATGGCTAATTGCCAAGCCAGTGCTTCATTAATGGTAGTTATGCTCCTTGGTGTACCTAATATAATACCCATGCTTATTCCATTCCCTCCTGACACCATGCACGCTTCGCTCAAGCAATGAAAAACCAGGACAACCAAAGGCTTACACTCAGCTTTCCTGTTCAGTTAAAAACATCTCCATGCTTGGGATCGAGCACAACCAGAAATCACCAGAAATCCCCCTACTGACTCAGCACCTTGCAGGAAATACTTAGTACCAAAATCCAGTGGTCTGGCATAGACACTTGTCCAAACACCACTCAGGGTATCCATGACTGTCTTCCTTACATCCACAATATGTTTAGAGAGGTTGTTACACACAGCTATTTAGGATTCTATAATTACAACTTCATCAAGGTATTGGCTGAAGAAATGTTTGAAGAAATAAGTCTCTAGAGACGTGAAAGAATAAATAAGTTCTTTAAACAAGCTTGTTCTCCTGACAAATACCAGTTTTAAGTAAAGCACATAATTAGAGTGACTAATTATTTACTACATTTATTTTTGCCTCTTCCATTCACAGTTTCTGTTCGGGTATCTTGTCATCTTCTCAACTCTCTTATCATTCCTCAGATCCTTTCAGTAACGGAATTAATTTACTTTACATCACTATGTGAGCTGGTTCAGTAGATCTGACAAGTAACAGAAAGCAAACGGTGCCTTTTTGTCTCGAGAGTGCAGCAGTGTGACTTGTACCAGTGACCACCTGTGCTATGAATTCAAAGTGAAGACTTATATTGACGACTAATGATCAAATTTGGCAATGCAAGAATGAAACTTTGTGTATGAGTTTTCCCACTATCTTCAAGGGCACAGATTATGCAACACGTTGGGAAAAGGTCATTCTCTCAGCACATTCTTAAGCAAAAATGAGAACAAATCTCAACTAAAGAAAGTGCCAAACAAATATGTACCGAGTTCTTTGTGCAATATTTGCTGAGTTCTACCTACCTTTTGTGAAGCCAAGTACTCCATGCCTCTTGCCAACTGGTATGTGCAAGACACTAAGTCTTTGAATGTCATCTGCTCCTCTGGTACCCTGTTAATGTCAAATGAATACTCCATGCCAGGTGGGCGACGTGCCCGCAGGTACTCGCGCAGGTTTCCTTTGGAAGCATATTCTACTATCACATACAACGGACCTTTGGATAAACAGAACCGTGTGAAAAGTGGAATAAGGTCAAAGGGTAAAACCATTTTAAATAAAGAACCTTTTCATGCTTTATAAATATTTCTGAAAGCAATTCGCTTATTTACTGTGAAATCAGTAAGCACGACTGGGAAGAAAAGGAGGTCAAGAGTTTGTTAAGCTACTGGCCCAAAGCTACATAGCAGGATAGTGGCAGAGCTACAGTTGGGAGTAAGAAGAAGGGACCTAAACCCTCGTTCTTCCAGACCATGCTATCATCTGAGAAGCAAGCAACTTCAATGCAAAAATGCCATTACAATGGCAAATGGCAAAATGAGAAAAGTAAAGCAAAACAAAACAAATAACATCTCCCCCAAAAAAGTGGTATTTAGAGAGCAGAATTGTTCACTTCAAGATTAAGGGATACAAGTTTTACTAAGGCTGGACTGACACAATTCAGAATGACAAACAGTGCTAACACCACTGTAAAATTTCTATTTTCATTACAGCAAGAAATTAGAGAAACACGATATACTATCCTTTTTCATATTAAAGCTGCAATGCGTCTTTATAATCAGAGACAGAAGTTAAAATATTGCTGCTAAGCTAGGGAAATAGCTAAAAGTCCCATCACAGCATGACCGTTTCCTTAAAAAGTTTTGAAAAATGATGATTAATGAGACTTTTAAAGACCTGTTTGAAAGTCTTGGCTTACTTTCTTCTCTCTACTCACCATCCTGGGTACAGGCTCCAAGGAGATTGATGATATTTTTGTGCTTCCCGATCATCTTCATCATCTCCATCTCCGACACGAGGTCGGATAGATCTTTTTCTGTAGCATCATCTGTACAAGAGACAAGTTCAGTTCATATTTTGCAGTGTTCCAGCTTGAATTGTAAGGATCACCAGCTGGTGTAAAACATGTGTGCTTCAAAATGCAGAATATGGGATTTGCTTTCCGGTATGCAGGGTATATTATACAAAGTCATACGACATCCTAGTAAGAGTAACCTCAGTCTCTCCGATAGACTAACCAGTTCTTCAGTCACATCATGGTGTTGAAGCAACCCACTAACATGAGACAAATTATGCTGTCTTTAACAACTAATTAAACAACTAATTAAACAACTTATATGTATACCTTTCCTAAAAGTTAAACAGTTAAATTCAAAATAAACAGGCACCTACCACCTGCAGTGAATGGATGCACAGAGTGAATCTACACACCGACAACCTCTGCTGTGAACAAAACTAAAGCAGGGAGACCCAGAGAATTCTAATACCTCTATTGGCTTGCAAATACCCACTACTAAAGATAAACAGGCTGTCAGGAGCCAGATTTACACTACGGACCGCTGAAGGCTGAGGTCAACTATGTGCACTTTGACCCTCCCGCAATGACAGAGCTCGGATGCCACAAAAGAAACTTTCTGTGGTAAAAATCTGCACATCACCCATCTCGATCCCTAATAAGTCAATTTTCTTACCTTTCAACATCTTCACTGCCACAGTCACTGCTTCTTTGGGCCTGTCTTTGTCGATTCCCACTGCTTCGGCCATGACAACTTGCCCAAAGCAACCTTCCCCAAGGGGCTTACCCAGCGTCAGCCTAGAGGTGTAAACAGGGGATTAACACACAGCATCTGGTGAAAGGATGGAGCCAGTGAAATTCCAGAGCTAAATATAAAAAGCTTTCATCAACTTGCTGCAGCATGAGGCACTTATCATATGGAACTAATGAGACTCCGGGTGCACGCTGGTTTTCACGCACGCTGCAGTATGTTTTCTTAGTGACACTATAGTGAGCATCTAATACAGGCAGATCGATTACTAAAGCCAGCTTTTAAGCTCTCCTCCTTGTAATAACAGAGGCTGTATTTGATGGCTCACTGGTTGGATATGCAGAGCACACAACGCAGAGCTTAGAAAAGCCAAGCAAGGCAACTAAAATTCAGGATGTCAGACTAGCCAGCAACACGCGAGCTTTTCATGTCATTGTAAGAGGGCCGTTTTTCTTCTTTTTCATGCTAGGAGATGAAAGAAAGGCTTCTTTGTGTGCACTGCCATGTGTTTGCTTTCAGGCAGCTGATGATTTGTGTGGTAAAGGGTGGTATCAAAACCAGAGGGATGTTTTAAATAGCACGGGCTCCTATGATATAACGGCACAGTGCAGACGGAAAGGAAACACTCAGACGTTCTTTCAGGGAGCTTAATTTTAGATCCAAACTCTTATTCTCTGTTAGGGAATGTGGGCCATGAAGAGCTCCTGAGACAGAGGGTTTAGGCATGATGGAGGGAGCAGCCCAGGAGAGTTCACGCTTGGGCCCAGCTGCGGGAACTTCTTGTACCCCTCCTTCTTTGGGACGATGCGGTGGCCAAACAGACTTCTTTTTTTTCCCGGAAAAACAGATAGCTGAGCCTGGGGGAAACTGCAATTCAATTATAATCATATTAACTTCTTGTACCCCTCCTTCTTTGGGATGATGCAGTAGCCAAACAGAATTCTTTTTTTTCCCCAGAAAAACAGATAGCTGAGCCTGGGGAAAACTGCAATTCAATTACAATCATATCACAAGTGCCAGAAACCTCTTAAAAAGAGTGGTCACTAAGAGGGTCAAGCGCATGAGCAAAATGCCTTTTGTGGAGTAGGTACCTGGCTGCGCAACGTGCTCAGCCAGCATGGGGACTTCAGCCTCAGCTTACGAGAATAAGGAGAAACTAAAGCAGAAACTTCAAAGCTTCTGGTTCCAGTGCAAGCACCAGTGCCAGATCCTGACTGCTTTACTCACACGGAATACTACTTAACTCCAGAAGCAGTGAAAGGGCAGAAATCGGGGAGTTGGATCCTGGTAGCACTATTTGATGTAGGGGTCGGACTCTGACGAGCGTTTCTCATAACAGAGTTCTCAAGGTCTTGACTTTCCATGGCCAAATGCAGGTATCACAAAATATACGTAGGGACTGGTTCTCAAAAGCATGGAGCTTTGACCTATCCCTACTTCTATAAAAGTACAGGCTGTGGGTTGTAATGCCCTGGTCTAATAGCCTAAAAGGTTTGAAAATCTCACTTATCTGCTTGGCCAAGCGAGAGAAAAGTACTGAATGACACTTCCTCCCATGGGCAAGTCCGCAGGCTCTTTCTAAATGTGGTCTTAACATTAGTGCGAATTCCTCAATCTGTTTTGGATTGGTTTCTAAAGCAAATGCTGCTTTAAAAAGGTGCAAAGACTGAAGGGCAGCGCATGCTATGCTGAGGTCATCCTGCATTTATCCAGAACGAAAATTGAATTTAGGATCTTGGCAGAGGACAAACATTTGCATTGGAAACTGCTTAATTTATGTGTTATTGCCCTGCTAGGCCTAAAGTAACAAACCCCTCATTGTGTGCCTCCTGCCCCCCAACCTAATAAACCGCCTCTAAATAGCCTCCTTTCATTGGAAATCTGCTCCACCTACATTTGTGCTCAATGTTGGTTTTAAATGTTTAGCACTCTAAAATTTTCCACATTTAGTGTATCCCCCTAGGGTATGGGTTGACAAGAGTATGTATGCAGGCCCCCACTGTTGACTATACTGCAGGTGGCAATTACAGCATTTTGCACCAGTTTTCAGCTACATAATTAAAATAATTTCCAGAACAGTTGTCAGAAGGCTCAAAATTACACCTCCTCCATCTAAGAGTTATGATGGTGAGCTTTCAAGGAAAATTGTTCATGATAGAATGTGTTATTTTTTAAAAGCCACCTAAAGACTTCTTAAAACTAGTATTAACTTCAGTACATAATCATGTTTCTACCTGTGTTAACATTACCTCTCTTTTACATATCCATATTATATGAAAAATATAGTTAGGGCTTTGATTAGACTACTCTGCAGTTCATTTTGCATGTTATTCAACAGACTTTGAAGAGAATATTATTTAGCTACATAGTTTTGAATACAGAAGAATTCAAAAAGCTCTGCTAGAGAACTACTAGGTTTCAAGCAGAGAGATCTTATACACAGATGCATACAATAAGCAAAATGTTCTAATAAATCAAAAATTATTTCCATTAACACAAGCTAATACAAAAACATACCCGTAAGGTTCAGGCAGTAAGAACAAGATTGTGTAATATCATGGTCTAGATTTCCTTGATTTCCAACATGGCACTATATATATTACCTATTTTTTAAACATGAACCACAGCAATCATTAAGAAGCATGGTTTAATGTACAATTGGCAAATGTTGACTGTCCTTCAACAGTGCATGTGTGCTGATATCTGTTCTTGGTTAGATCATCTACATTTGGAATAAAGTTTCAGATTTATGTCTTCACTAACTGAGAAGTTACATTTCACCAGGGTATCTGAAAAACTACAAGAAATCTGAAAATAAATCTCAGTGTCAGGCAAAGAAAATGCTGTTTCTATTAAAACAAACTGCACTCAGAAAATGGAACTGATTGAATCTGGACCTTCTGAGAAGATTCAGGTTACTTGGATTTTCTTTTAGCTAAAGAAAACCTGGGAGATATTTGGAAAGAAGCTTCCTCTTCATTCTGTGCCACGTGTTTCGGACACATATAGGCAGTATTAAGGGAAAGATACTACATACTTATCTCGTGGAAACTCCCATTTTGGGTCTTCTGGCAATTCATACTCGGAGACTCCTGCCAGCATGGGGGCATCGGCCGTGGAGGAGAGACGGGTCGTTATCCTCACCAGCGGCGTGTTGGAATTCATGGAGGAGCTCGAGTCGGCCGACACCTGTTATTGCAATACAAGATGCAGAAAAAAGGGGGACATGTAATCTTCATCCAGTAGCTGAAAACAGCAGAACATGATAACTGAGCCAGCTTCCATCAGTGGTATCAGGGAAAAGAGCGGCTGAAACCACAGGCTTCTAGCAAACTATTCTAGTATGCTTACCCTCCCTTCAGCACAGTACTGATTCCAGGTAAATCGCCAAGAAGGCTGTAGGATCCTCTCACGTATTTTTAAATGTTTAACATCAAAAGTATCTAAAAGCTATCACATTTGTTTGTGGATACTTAAAAAAAGTATTCCATTAACTATACTGTTTGGTAAAAATTCTAAATGCAATGTGGAGAGCTTTCATAAGAATAATCTCATTTCCTCCATTTCAAACTTTTGGAATAGGATTTCTCAACAACCTCAACATCAATGCATTTTCCTTTGAACATCAAATGAATATTTAATGACAACTGCTATGAAAATAGAAGTACCAGCCACCACACCAAGCCCCAAAAAATAAAAATCATTTTGGTATAAATGGTATATTCTCCACAAGGCACTTTCCTCAAACCTGCAAACAGCAACCTGCTGTTCTTCAACCTCCGTATTTCGAGGGAACATGAAGACAAAACAAAAATGAATTTATTGCCACTCTGGCCCTTCCTGTAATGGGAATCCTCCTCCTCTCTTCAGGTCGTGACAGCCTCTGTGCCAGGCCCGTACCTGGCCCTGGGCAGCCCAAAGGTCCTCTCGCCGTCATCCGTCCGAGTCCTTCTATCAGCTGGCAGGATGTCCTTGTCACCCAGCATGGCCCAGACCCTTCCCAAAGGTGCAGCCTCAGTATAACCACTGCTGTGATCTTTGTGTCACCTGGAGTCAACCTTGACATCCCAACTGCTTGTGAAAAGTGTCACCAGGCTACACATTCTTTCATATTTGTTCCATTATTAGGCACTCACAAAAAAAAGCAATTAGAAATAAACATCCTAACAGCAAAGTGCAAATCAACGACACACGTTAATATGAATGCAAAATCCTCTTTTTTTCTGTGACACCAGACAACCAGAACTCAATGCTCCTGTATATTAGGTCCAATTAACAACTAGAGTGACACTAAACTACCTTCCTGAGATGGGTCTGGAAGGCTTTTACAACCATGTCATGCTCTTACACCAGGTATTTTGACACAACAGGGTTAAGTTCTTGGATAAATTTTTCATGACCTTAACAAAATGTTTTGCTTCAAGTCTTTTTTTCAGGGAAACATACTCAAGTTTTTAAACATGACATCAAATATGTCTGACTCCTTGACACATTTTTCCAAGACCAGACTACGACTGGAAAGAGATTTCATAAGGAAGAAGATATAAAGGGCTCAAAACATTCAAACTTTCAAAGCATTAAACTTGTTAACCAGTTTTGCAGCTGAACAACAGATCTTCCCTGATACCAGGAGCTCCCTCCTTCCTCATGCCTTGCTCATACAAGGCCAACCACTCCAATAGGTAAGATGGGACACCTTCACCCTCTCCCATCCCACCATCATCCGAGCCAGTATTTATCTTCAGGGAAGAACCAGGCACAATGAGGATGATAAATATGATAATAACTGCTTGCGACACAAATAGAAAACTGCTGTTAATACAGACTATGTAACTCTAAATAAAGCAGTAAATGAGTATTGAACAGAGTGCTGAGAGATGCTGCTATGCCCAGTCTATCGAGTGGAACCCTCCTGCTGGAGCTAAAGCTCTCACTAAGAGCTGCATGGCAAGTCAGCCTGAGAACAAGGGCCAGAATGAGACTTTTACTTATTTTTTCCTCATTTTAATGACTTCACTTCATGGATTTATGAAATGCCACTTCATGAAAGGAATAAGCAAACCTCAATAAGCAATGTGGCAACCTAAGTCCCCCAGCGCTTCCCCTGAAGTTCACTTCTCGGTTATTTCTGGTTTCCATTTTTTCATTTTTTTCCGTCCTGCTCCTGCGAAGGACACAGCATGGCAGAGTACAATCACGTAGGCAAAACTCTTTTTAGTTGCAGCTATGTAAAGATTCAAATTTCATAGGAAACGGGCACCGCAAAGGCCATACTGAGTTTCTGAAGGAGAAAAGCCTGTTACCTCCAGATGTGAGGCCTCGATGCGCTGTGACATCCCCATCTGAACTAAGCTTGTCCTCTGGCCAAGACACTGTACTCACTCAGCTTTGAGATAATGCTTTACAAGTTTTATGTGACAACTTCTAAGCAGTGGGACATTCAAAACTTAAAGACTCCAGCAAAGATTCATTTAAGTGCCATGTGGCAAAATCAGCTGCAGAACAGCGTGTAATTGTCTGTAATTGATTATGAAGGGTGTTCTCCTTCACTTATGATTTATACCATATCCTGAAGCTTAGAAATGTCACTTCTGGCACTCGTGCTGTGAGATTTTAGCAGCCACGCAGTGATTTCCTACAACTGTCAGCTTTTTTGAAGGCTGTGCTGCAAAAGTTCATTTGGAGGCATATGCATACATCTGTATAGGAATAATTAGTAAGGAATGCAATCAGATGTTGACATAAAGCCTAACAGAAGTTTCCCATTGAGTGACTGTATCTAAAAATATTTAAGGTAAATTCATTACCTGAAACCAAAGATTAGCATTTAAAACACACAATCGCATGAAGAATTTCTTCCAAAGCATTTAACCATAACAAAAAATAACAGCCAACACTACTAAGCAAGTCAACATTTTCTGTACAGAGAAACCCAAGAATAAAGCTAAAATACGTATTAAGGTAAACACCTTGCAACACATCCTACTATAATTTCCTATAACCTTTACACTCACAGTAGATATAAATTAATGCTTTTATAGAAAGAAGAGGAACTACTTGCTGGGTTTCCCTAAAATCAAGTACTAGATCCCTCTGAGGCTGAGGATTGTAGGGGGAGGGAACAGATCATTCTTGACTTCATCGTGACCCTTCCTATGAATGTTAAAAGAACCGCATTCTGGCAGGAAAAAAAATGCCTGCATGTGGGGAATGATAAAATTCTGTAGTAGCTCAGACTAAATAGTCAATGTATGAGAATCCAGGCCTGCAAACTAAACCATATGTTACTCAGCAAGACTCTTATCCCACTTAGACAAGATGGCATCGCAGTCATGCGAATGCCTCTTCTTGCGCCAGGATTATTTTCATATCCAGGTCCTTGGGGAATTTGACCTAAGAGCAAAGCGCTTCAAAAACAATATCAAGAATTCCCCAATATATGGTCTCATTTCACTGGAATCCCAGCAAATTAGGCTACCTGACCCTGTTTCTCTGCTGGGCTCACACAAGTGACCTGGCATGAGCATTTCCCCTGCTCATTCTCACCTATCCCCTTTACAGCTTGGCCACTTTTTCTTCTCCTCCCCATGCAGTGCAGAGGCAAAGGAGCATATTCCACCTCCTGTAATCCAATATAACAATTGGTGAAACGGCCCATGCAGCCCTCAAAACAGAAATACAGATTTCCTTAAAAACTTATAGTAGCTATTTTCCTGTATGAAGACACGAGAGCAGAGAGCCCCCGAATGAGAAACTTGTGCTAATAAAAAAGTGCTGAGGAGAATTGAGATTAGTGGAATTTTTGCTTGGGGGTTGAAATAAGATTCTCACTTCCATGCGTTTATTGTTTTTCAAAGAAATAGTCCCACTTTTAAAAGCAAAATGACATTTTTGCTTTGAAAACACAAAACAAAACTGATAAAAAATGATCTGACGAGCATGTTATAAGACAGAGATTTTTCCTCTGTGAAAACAATGGCTTTGGAGAAGTTCCACATTGCATCATTTAATGATAAATAACTAAACCGAGGGCAGCGGTTGGCACTGAAGTCACATGCAGTGAAATAACACCATCCCCACAAGGAACCATTTCCAACTGACAACTGAGCTCACACCAAAACCTAGAAACTTGGATAACAAAGATGGTCAAAGGTCTCTTCAGTATTTTTTCTGGCACCAATTCATCTTTAGGACATTATGATGCTTTTAAATTCAGGCAGAAATCTAATAAATATCTTTTATGTGAGCAGTAATCTGTGCATCTCTCTCCCTCTCTTTTTCTCCCTCTCTGGTACAGTATTTGAAAGTCTGCATAAAGAAGGCTACATATAGAATTGCAGGCAGAGAGATATGTGTAAATTGAGCTGAGGACTTCTCATAACTCCTTCTGATATACTCGAAGGCAACTCCCCTCCCCAGTAATTTTCAAGCTAATGAAAACACTGTATAAACATAAAAAACTCAGAGAGTGTGCAGGGGAAAAGTCATACAAAATAAGAATTATTATTTTTTGCTTATAAAATAAACCAAACATTTTTGAGATCAGACAAAGTTCATGGCCTCCACCTCAAGACTTATTGACACTGAAAAAAAACAGGCTAAAGCATTAATAGAGGGATTTCACTGTCTCATTTTTGACCAAAAAGAATCAGAAACCCAAAACCAAAAAAGCAGGACTGCTTGAAATGCCAAGACGTAGTCCCACCCTAACTCTGTGCAAATATGCATCTAACCTTTCACACCCTTACCTACACTGAAGACTTATTTTTAATATAAAAACAATCTGCAGAAATTCTGCGTAAAGTATTAATGCTATAGATGGACCTGAACTAAAGTCCCAGATCCAAACTCCCCTGACCAAAGTTTCGGTTCTTATTCTGCAGATGGTCCCTATTTCTCATAATGAGGTGAACCAAGGGCTCAAATTCAGGCTCCCCCACCAACGAACCCTACAGTGTTGGAAATTTGGGTGTGGATTTTGCGGGCTTAGAGGTCCATTCTGAAGACCTATTGCAGAATAAGCAAAACATATTAAACCACAGCTTCAAAAGAAACAAGTCTTTCAGGAGACGATAATATGTGGGAATCTGGGCAGCTTTGGCAAGTGATGGCCCGTGACAAAGCCAAAGGCCTGTTCCTCGTTCAACTGGTTTGCTGCTCCTCACGTTGCCCTCTCCAGAAACTCTCATTGCCAGGGAAAATTGCAAAATATGCTTCACACAGCATTCTTTTGTGCATTTCAAAGCTGATATTTGCTTTTATTCCTCACTCAAAAACATCGGCATCTTAATCAAACCGTCTGAGGTCCGCTTTAGTATCGCTCTTATTTTCATTTGACTATGGTCCTTTTCTATTTTGAGGTGGTTTTTGGATGCTTGACTACAAATTTCCCTCCCCTTAAGTCTTCAAAGAAGCCTCAAAAATACCTCTCTGTATCTGGTACCTAGTTACTACAGTAATAGTCACCTTAGAAACACTGTAAATATACAATTATATATGATTGTATTCCAAAGTTCACTTAAGTCAGTCAGAAGTTTTCCGTTGACTTAAATGAGTTGCAGGATCAGGCCCCTAAATGCTTCAAATACATTTTTTTTCCATCTATAGACTGCTAATGGAGAACATATTCCAATTTTACATTTCTCTCCCAACATCCCCGCCCTGGTTTTCTTGCCTTAACACCCACGCTTGAGGGCTACCATGTCCTCTCCTCCCCATCCAGCCTCCTAGGCGGCAGATTAAATCCACCCTTGATTGCAATTTGGTTTAGCACCCACTTAAGCCTCTTTCAATGCTCTCAACACAAGGACTCGCTGGCTTAGAGGTTTGGTAAAAGTTTTTCAAACTCTTTATCTACTTTCTGTTACCTGTCTGCGCAGAGGGATTCGCTTCGTGAGCTTGTGCACGGCCGGCTGGCTGCTGAAGTCGGGCTTCTTGGTGGTGTTCTTCATGCGGCACAGGATGACCGCCAGCACCATGCACGCGATTAGGAAGACCCCTATGCAGTAAATTGCTATTTCCAGGTAGTCTGGAGACGCCGGATATTCCTTCTCTTTTTCAGGAGCTGGATTGGAAGGTTTTAGGAGGGAACAATCATGCCACAGAGTTAGGACACAGGACAAGGATGCTCAGTACAGTGCTTGGAGCAACAAGAAATGATAACACGACAGGTAATTTTTGCAGTGCCTTTGAGACATATGGCCTACTGCAGATATGTAGGTCATCTTGCAACCTGCCAGTAATTCCTCTGATCACTGCTATAGTTTTCCCATTTGCCACTGTGTGCATGCGTGTATGTGTTTGTACACGTACATATACACACATAAACACGTGTCTGCTTGCTTAGGTAAATATATATATACATAGTAGCAATATTGTGTGTTCAAATATAACTTCAGGGAAAACAAGGACTAAAGCATCCAAATGAGATTCATTTTGCTGGTAAAATCAAACTCCAAATAATTTTCACAAGCGTTGTAATTCCTTTTAACCACATTAAAGACACATTTGAAGACAAAATATTCAATTAGATAGCCTAAAAGGATAGTCTCTAAGCATTTAAATGGAAGTTTGGGCTGGAATCTGCATTGCTTGTATGGCCAAATTTCCACTGGATCTTGAAATCCAGAAGGAAAGCAGGATGGATCAGGCCCTTAATGCGCTGCTAAGTCCAGGCTGGGAATTCAGGAGGATTCAAGGATCTGGCTGCCCAGCGCTGTTGGATCACGCTGGGTGCCCAACTCCCCTGAGATTCCTTGAGGGAACCAGGGTCAGATTAAAAAGAAAAATCCAAGTAAGAGCTGAGCTGCTAACAGCACATTTGAATGGATTACCCGCCATACTAAGGCTGTATATTTTAAGCCTCACCAGTGGTTACTAGTTTACAAGATTAGATTTTAGCAGGAGTGGTTCTACACAGCCGTTACTCTGATTGAAACCATTCTGAAATTATCTTCAAGACAGTTATATGCACAACCCCGGTCCCTAATCCTTTATCTGGAATTCATCCTCCGGATAAACAGCATTCCGCAGCAATCAGCGGTCACTCTACAAGCAATGCACATTCAAGCTGAAATTTCCTTGTGCCTCATTTTAGGTTTAAAAAAATATTTCATTCAAGAAAATTGGTTAAAATACGCTGTTCGAGCACTTGAGAAATGCAAACCCTGCTAGCAGAAGCGAGCTCTACATTGGTGCTGTCTGCTCGCTTGGTGACAAATCATGCAGGCTTGGTGCTCCCAGAGTGAGATGCAATAACGTGATCTTGTTCAATACATGTTAATAAAGGCTAAGAAATTATCTGTGGAAAGTGGGAACATTTTAATCACATCTCACAAACCTCAGCAATATGCCCATGCAGGTTTTGTACCTTTTGTTTTGGATTAACAATTAATAAATGGTAAGCACAAGGTGACCCAGCAAACCTCAGGTTATTCACGTTTTTCCAAAGGAACTCCCAAGGCAGCTGCATTAGAGCCAAGAGTAATAAATGAGACAATTTAACTAGTGTCAGAACCAACTACAGTTACATCTTCTAACAGCTGATAACAATTTTCAGGCAATAAAGCGCATTGATGTTTGTTTCTTTTAAGGGCAGAAACATCATCAACCACAGTACAGCAGGACATGCTTTGCAGTAAAAGCAAATGAATATTTGTTTTCTTAGAACATGCAATGTTTAAAGATGCACGGAGCCGATTCCCAAGATATGGAACGCACTGCTTCTGCACACAACCATTTGGCACTAAAATTAGAGTTTTTGTAACAGATTTGGATAATAGGTAAAAGCAAGTTTAAAAATGAGTTTATCAATGATCATGGCCAAATTGGTCCTAAGGCTCCCTAAGACAATTTGAATCTTCTCTTCAGCAAACAGTTTACAATGATTAATGTGCTGACTTTCAGCTATCTCTTTCAATGCTAAGGAAGTGCACTTAGCATTTCTGATGAACATTCAGCAAGAGGTAAAAACATTTAAATTAAGCACAACAGCCATGCCACTTGTTTCGGTTTTGATTTTTTTTGTAGTTGTATTCAAGAATATATCGCATTTACTGGCTTGAGACAACCGTGTTTTTTAAAAATAATCATTGTAAAAAAATGTTGAAGAAGCCAAAAGTCATTTTCTCTGAGACAGAAGCTGTGCTAACCCTGCAGCAATCAACGAGGGGAAAAAAAAGAGGAAAAACCACTGAAAGAGAGCAGTGTATACCTGGCAGAACTGTCAACCATGCAGTGTGAAAGGATATCCCAATAGAATTACCCGCCAAGCATGTATACTCCCCAGCATCCTCAAAAGTTACATTCCGTATATAGAGAACCTCAATTTCTTTGTCCGTGGTGTTAACACCGGCAGCCTAAAAAAAAAAGAGGGAAGCAAAAGAAAAAGCTAGACACTGAAAGAATCCTTGTGGATAGGGAGATGGAGCCACAGGGCTTTGCACTTTGGAAGGACAGAGGTGGAGAGATGCAAAGCTCCTTCCCCATCCACAATCCCTCATCCAAAAGCCATTTACCAACAGGTCCCAGCTCACCTCAGAAAGTAATCAACACCCTTCACCGGACTTAAACTCACCACCTAAACATGCATGCAATCAAATGGCATGGAAAAATTAACCCACAAAGCTTTTTTTTTCCTTTTTTAATAAAAGAATGTTGAAAGAGAAACAAAGAGAAAACGAAGTAGGACAGAATGTGGTATCCTTCACATGTAGTTACCTGTTTAAGAGAAAAGAATTTGCTATGAAAATGTATTCTGAGAGGGTGAAATAAATAAAAAGGCAGATTCTGCTCCAAGAGACACAACTTAGTAGCTGGCTCAGGCAGCTACAGTCCTTCCATCATCCACTGCACTTGAATACTCTACACTGTGCAGTCTTGCCAAATCTCACAGTTTGATCCCAAGGCTGATAATATTTGGTGGCTTGCTCAGAAGCACAGGGCAGAGTCACATTGCCAGGTAGGAATCTGAACTCTCTTGTAAAAAAGATCATTTGTGGCTAGCGGAGACGTGGCGAAAAGCTGGACCACAGAGGTTCAAAAACAAGGAGAGGGAAATATATGCTTTTCTAAATCTTAGAATACTGAAAAAAAATTAAATGGATTTTTTTTCTGGCCTCTTTGCTTGCTAAATCTCTGGCTTGACAAGTGATTGTGCAGCAAACAATCACTGTAATAGCGATTATCCAAACTTTTACAGAAAAGTACACTTAAGAGCCCTTCAGACCTGAGACTTTCCAGCTGTCCCAAGACAGGCACAACAGGGCATAAGCATCAAGTACTCTATCATGGAGATTTAAAGAAAATATTTTAAATGGAGAGCTTTTTTTCCCCTTTGTCTCTGTTCCATTCAAAAACATAAAAACATTATTTTGAAATACATTATGGGGGAATAATCCTATCTGTATCAAGCCACTTGCATCATTGCCAGAATTTAGTAGTACTGTGGGCTTTTACCCACAATAACGGGAGAATAAATGGGGAAAGACATGCACCCTGCACAGCTGCAGGAGATGTAGGAAGCTTTAAGTTCCTAAATTGACCTGTGAGTACTTATATGAACATCTCACATATGTAAGTGTGTGTATATATCTACATATATATGTACGTATGTGTACATAAAAATATACACACTAATTATACCTTAATTATGTTATTCAATGAATACACTATATGTGAATTGTGAAGTACGCAGAATTAGCAACAAACCTGAACATAAACACACACAGACACCAAATACAGGAGAGAACAAAGAAAACACTGTTTACGATACACACAGAATATTGTGGGAATTTTTCCATGGCGGCTGGTGTAATACCAGTTGCATCACCAGAGGAGGATTACAAATATACCACAAGGCCAAGAGTTATCCTACAAGCTGCCTGCAGTCTCCCAAAGCACCATTTTTTCCAGCTTCTACATCCAGCTTTCTTTAAAAAACATTGTTACCTTGTATACTCGGCAGAACAGAGAGCCAGGCAGACTGGTTGGCCTCCCCTATATAATTGGAGACCTTACAAATATATTCTCCAGCGTCCGCCTCTGTCACATTGTACAGTGTCAGCACTTCAGCATTGGAACTATTTATCCCCGAATGCTAGAATAGACCAATAACACAGGAGAACAATGTAACTGCTGCCCAAAATGGACATCAATCTGTCTATGGTCCCACCACCAACACCGTCATAAGAACATGTCTTCCACTTCATGCAAGTATCAGTGTCAAAACATTAAGTTTTGTTTTTTTTGCAATCAGAAGTATCACACGAACAGGTAGAAAAGGGGAGAGGGGAAGAAGCATCTGACTGGGAAAGCGGCTGTGTGGGATGATATGGTAGAGAGCTGGCTGTCCCAACCACCAGCACTCTGGAGTTGGAGTTGGGCAACACGAACCAACTTGGAAAACTTCACGGTGAAGGATTTCCTTGAATGAGCTTGCTTAGGACACCTGCCAGTAAAGAACAACCTGGTGCAACTGAGATGCTGCATCAAGTTGCTGAAAAATGGACATCTTCGCAGGTGCAGGACCTAGAGAACCCCATCTCACCACCAAGCTTTGGTAGCAAGTGTTACATTACTCAATGGCCTTTGAAATGAAGAAATGTGAGAGAAATGGAGTAAATTCACCTGGATATTTTTTAGACATGCCTTACCAACACACGTCAATGATGTGTTTGAAGACTTTTGTTTTTTTAATATATCATGCTTGAAACAGTTCCAGATAGACAACTCCGTGGAAGCACAGAATACCAAAAGAGTGCCTATGAGCTGCAAAATAAGTCTTTAGACTACCAAATATATGCCTATTTATTTCAATTGTCCTCATCTCAAAATTCTTGGATTTACATCAAATAAACTCAATGCTTCAAAGAGACAATCACCAGCACCAACATCTGCAAGGCCTCACCTTTAAAACCTGAAGATAGGGCAACCCATCTGGTCCGTATTTACTGCCATTCTTCTCTACATGTTTTATCCACTGGATGTGAGGCTGAGCATCGCTGTAGACTTTGCACACAAACTCCACGTCCCCACCGACCACCGTGGAGGCGTTCGCGGGGAGGCCGGCCTGGAGGATGGGCCTGTGCGGAGACCGCTCTGTTGAGACGGGGAGGGCGAGCGAGAAGGAGGGAGGGAGGGAGAGGGAAATAAAGATGCATAAATAAGCGGAGCTGCCAAGAAAACTGTAAGTGAACTCGAGCCAAAAAGCCCTGTAAGCCTGTTGGCTGACTCCTCCGAAATAACACTGCAGCCAAAACGTATAACAAAAACTGCAGTTCAAAGGAGATGACTTGAGCACTACACTTGTAATATGAAGAATAGCTATTTGGGGGCAGGGGAGAAAAAAAAAAAACTAAGCATTTTTGATAGTTTAATCACTTAAGAATTACTGAAAAAGTATATATTTTAAAGTGTTCATTGTTAATAAGTGCCTCTGACTTCTGAAACATTCTAATTGGGTTAAACTCCCACAAATTGGAAAGATTAATCAGTTTTTAAAATGAATTAATAATGTATTAAAATAAACCCAAAGGATTTTCACACAGTGAGCGGCCTAAGCACTGTCCCTAAATATCCTTATGCAAGACATGTTCCAGGCAGCTTTTCCGAACGCTCTCGTCGTTATTACCAAGTTAGCTGCTCTCTCCCGTCACCTCGACGCAGCAACAGAAATACCAGTTTGTTCTTACTCTTAAGCATGACGCAAGGAAACATCGAGTTCCCCGAGGAACCTCAGCATATTTAACATGACCCGATAAGGCTTCGTAGTCTGCAGACTTGGCTAAGTATTTATTGAACGCGATTGCTCAAGCTTATGACACTGAACATACCAAGTGTATCCTGTGTCATCTGGGTACCCGGAAAGCCACTCCAGCCAGTGCTCCCTGCCCAGTTTCGTGGATACGATAAACATCTTTGGGCAAAACATCAGCTGTGTGTGCTGGAAGCGATGGGAACGTTGCCCCCGGCTATGACAGCGCTGCAGCGTTCTGTACTCGCAGAGCCTGATCTAGAAGCTGCTAAGACCTTAGGGATGGTGAGCAGCAAATGACCTCAGCTCCCAGGCTGCCAGGGCCTCCAGCAGATGTTTTTTGCCAGGCAGCAAAAGTGGGCAAAAAATAATACATTTCATCCCAACATCACCTAAGGAAAAGTCCTCAAAATGACCCTCCGAGGAAACAAAGACTCTACCGTGCAGGCTGGGCAATGGCACCGTCCCCAGAGGCCTTCGGGGAGCTGCCGCTTTCTTCATCTGGGAGCTCGCCATCTCCTTCCCCTAAACTTAACTCTGCCCCTTCCTTCAATGGGAACAGCAGCAGCTTTTCTTATGGACATCTGTATATCAGGAAAAGCCTGGTCACCTGGATGCTCCCATGTATCACAGATGTCTCAGATAAGAATTCAAAGTTAATGCTGAAAAATTTAAAGCTAAGGGAAAGGTCCATTGCTCATTCCCTACCAGGGCTGCCCATTCTCCTCCACGATGAGAATTCCTTCATAGGCAAGTAAAAAACAGTGGACCTAAATATTTATTATTAGAGGCTGCATACTGTTAAAGCTTGGACATTATAAGCCAAATCGACTGAATTTCAAGTCAAGTGCTCCTTCTTAAACATAGTAGTTTCCAATAAATTGTTTCACAAGCAAACATTGCGAGTCTAATAGCAAATAATGATGCCCACGGAACAATGGGATCTTTCATACAGTCCAATATATTTGGCATGCGGCAAACATCTACAGGGAATTTATTCACTGCGGCAATGCTGGCAGCACACTACAAAGCAGCAGTCTTATTTCACTTGTGGCAAAAGTGCATTTGCGTAGCAGTTATTAAATTATTCCACGGCTATGTATGTCCTTTTCAAAGGATCTAGGAACAGTTTAATATTTTTTAATTTTTAAATTACCGTAGAATGTCTAAATTACTATTTTATAGTTCTGGAGAGAACTTTTAAAGTTTCTCACCTTATACTAACTAAGCTCTAATTCCATCTCTCTCACTCCTTCATTTGGGTACAAAAACAGCAAGCAAATTCTCCCTTTAATAGAAACCTTACACCATCTTCCAAAACTTATTACAGCTGCCTTCAGTATAAAATGAAACCTTAGAGAATGTTATTTAAAATGTTTTTTAGAAGTCAGTAGGCCTCATGTTTCATTTCTCCACATCAGGGTTTGATTTCCTTTGTGACCTTACTCTCTGCCCTTAAACAAACCAGAGAATGAGGCCTGAAACATCTTGGAAAAGTTCCTACCATGCCAGCATAACACACAAAAAGTGTTTAGCTTATCCCGATAGACATCAATGATTTAATCTTTTATTGATGACTGTCAAACCTTTCCTCTACCAAAAATGGATGGTCTAGTAAAGAAGTAAAAGCAAAGTTCTCACAATCTTGGCCTACCTTAAGAATTAAATAGTGTGTGTATATGCAAATATAGAACAAATGTACATGTATAAGATAATTATGAAATTTCTACTTGAAGGGTCAATGTGTTAAAAACAAACGTTACCCTCCAACACATGGAGAAATGATCAGTATTTGTCCAACTCCTTCAGCAGAAGGCAGTGCTCCTAGGCCCACACAGGCAAGCAGAACTTTGCATCCTCGTGCAAATTCAGCAGGGCTGCAAACCTACAGCCTAGGATCACGGGAAATAAATTCAACAGTGTGGAAAGTAGCACAGAATAGAGAAATGTGCCCTCATTAAAAATGACCAAGCAGTATAGTTCAGTACAGTACCACTTCTTAAAAACAGTCATTTCAAGATGTTATGCTGTCTCTATTTCTCTGCAAACTACACACACTTAAGAACTTTGCTTCTCACAAACCATGTCCATAAATCTCACATCAATATTGGTGCTTAAATAGCAAGCCTTACTTTTGTAAGCAGCTATCATCACTCAGACAACTAGCTCCACAAACATTAGATGGAAATTTTATTTTCTTTTTTTAATGGAAGCCTGGCAAAGAAGTCAAAGCAGTCTTCAAAAAATACCTTCAACTTCACCATGAACAGCCTTTCTGAAAAGCATTTAAAAATATGCATTTGCCTTGGATAACTTAACAGTTATTACTAGGATGATCACTAAACTATAGTGATAATATATGTCTGTAGTTAGCTCATTCGGACAGCAATATTTTGATAGGAAAAAACCTGGGAACTGAGCTTGTAACTCTGCAGCCCTACTGATTTTAATATTGCCCTTCAGCGTTTCACACTGAGCTCAATCAGCCCCCTGAGAAATAAAGCTTTGCTAATTGACCCCCGGCATTTTAGAGTGTTCCACTCTCACTGCTAACACAACATGGTTTGCAAAACAAGTCTACAGTTTATGTGCTATAGAAAATTGCCCCATGCACAAGACTTCTTGTGCACTAACGCTAAACCATAAAGGACCATAAGAAATAGGAGGTACTGCTTTTATGCCCATAAATATTACTTACTGAACTAAACAGTTCTAAAAGATACCGCGTAGTTTTGCCCTGATTTCTTAAACAAAGACTTTCTTACTTTAACAGATATTTAATGGATTTTTAGAATTGAAGTACATTTCCTGCATATTGATTTGAAAGTATTTGAGCCAAAAATCAAAAAGTATACATCTCCTAAATTACATTTCATTCTTATTCTAGTTCTTCCCAATTTCTGTAATATTTTACAGCAAGAAACAAGCTTGATGCTCTGTATGTAGGAAGTGCTGGGGTCTTCACTTTGCAGTTTTGATGCAACCAAGAACACCTCTTTTTGAAGGGTTAATTATTTACAAAAGGCAGAGCCCCAGTGCCTGCTCATGTGCAGATCATATTCACCACTACAAATACCTAAACCATACACCATCATAAAGATTCTCAAATTTCTGCTTGACAAACAGACTCACTATTTGAAGAAAAGCCCAATAAACAGAAATAACCAGTGGCTTAGAGAAACCTGTCATTTAACTTGTTAATGTTAAATCCTTGGGACAGAATACTTTCCTCTAAGAAGAAAACCTGCAAAGAGTCCAAAGAAACTGGAAAATTCCAGGGCCCTGATCTTACTGAATTTCCTAAAAAATTGACAGTATGTCTGGAATTGCACAGGAATCTCCCAATCCCACAGAAAACTTGGGGTCAGGTGGGAGTTCGTCCTGCCACAGACGAAGGAGGGACAAGGGAAGGGAAGGATTCCGGAGATGACTCTACTGGAGCTTGCCCCCTTCACCAAGAGGTTCTGAGAATTGTCTCTCAGTAATATTGAAGCCTCCTGGACAGATAGGTCCTACAGAAGACCCTCATCTCATACATGTTGGGCATCTATTTCGTTTTGATCCTCTAGGGCCAGGGTGGCAGCAGGGATATGTGCAGGGAAGAGATGCTGCATGCCCTGAGTTGGAGGAGGACGTAGGAGGGCAGGATTTGCTGCTGCTAGAGGCCCAAGTAGAGCACTTTGTGCCTGAAAAAGTGGCACTGCTGCTCCTGGAGGGCTCTGGCAGGACGAGGGGACAATAACCCGGGAAGGGGTGAGCTCCGGGGCCTGTCCAGAGGCCAAGTCTCCTTAGCAACCTGGCCGTGCCAAGGGCTGGGAAGAGCTCCGGTAATTGTCTGTCCCAACCTCCTCGTCACCCTAGGACAGACAGTTCAGGACCTTTCATGAGAGCTAAAAGCCAGAACCAAAGCCCATTGAAGCCAGCAGAAAAACCTCACATGGAATTCAATGGGCTTTGGGTAAGGCATTTTAATGCATTTCAAAAAAAAGAAAGAAAAATGAAAACTAATCTTATTTTCTCCTTTTGAATGGGCTTGTTTCCTCTCCTTGCAAATGTGTGACTCAAGTGCAGGCTAGGAAATAAAAGCTGAATAGCAAATCTAAGAATTCAAACATGAATTCTCTGAACAATGGATAGATCCTCAATTAAAAGAAAAAAAAATAGAAGAAATCAAGAAATCTCATTCTTTTCCACAGCCTCTAATTAGCCAGACACATTTATCAGAGCATTAAATACTATTTTTTTAAGTGTTACTGACTCCTAAGGAGTCATCTTGACAGCTGCCACTGCAAAGCTACAGAGGCCCCCTCAGATTATGCCTTTAAGTGAGGCATCGGTAACCAGT